TTGTTCAGCATTCTACGCCACAAGTCGTCAACTGATGCTTCGCCTGATTGTTCCGTCAAAAAATTCAAACCAAAAGAAAACGCAGATACCTTTCAAGGACCCGGGACATTTGGGCAACAGCCTCGAACCCGTGAATCACTTCAAGCCTTCAAGACCTGCCCTTGTTTAATTTTCTTGACGGAAGTACTTCGGCGCGTGCTTTGAACTAGTCGGTTCCGTGCAGGTGGGTCCGAATTCTCCCTGTCATTTTTTCAGGAATATGGTGCGTCAGAGTCGATCTGAGTGGAAAGCAGAATACTCCAAAAGACTTTCACGACATCTTGGGGATTGTGAGAAGTGTTTCATTGTTGGCGTCGATAATGTCCGCTCTAAACAAATGCAGCAGATCCGAATGGCTCTGCGGGGAAACGGCGAGCTCGTTATGGGAAAGAATACGCTAATGAAGAAAGTAATTCACGGCCAACTTGCCCGCAACAGCAATTTGGAGAAATTACTTCCACACATCCGTCAGAATGTGGGGCTAATTTTCACGAAGGGCGATCTTCTGGAAATCCGGGAAATTTTGGAGGCGAATCGCGTTGAGGCCCCAGCAAAGGCGGGTGCAATTGCTCCGTGTGATGTGGTTGTCCCAGCTCAAAACACTGGTCTTGGACCGGAGAAGACCTCATTCTTCCAGGCGCTAAATATCCAGACGAAGATCTCCAGGGGTACCATCGAGATCGTCAATGATGTACCTCTCATCATGAAGGATCACAAGGTGGGGATGAGCGAAGCAACATTGCTTAGCATGTTGAAGATATATCCCTTCAAATACGGACTTATCATCACTCAAGTAGGTCCATAGTTTATACACTTTATCGCCAGGTTTTTGATCAAGGATCTGTGTACGATCCCGCCGTATTGGACATCACACCGGATATCGTCCTGGAAAAATTCATGGCCGGTGTCGCTAATCTGGTCTCGTTGAGTTTGGGGTCCGGATATACTACAGTCGCCAGCATCCCTCACAGTCTGGTCAATGGGTTCAAAGATCTTTTGGCTCTATCAGTCGCCACGGAATACACATTCAGCGAATCCGAGAAGGTTAGTCATAAGAAAGTTAATTTTTGTATTTTTGTATCATTAAGCGGCAGTTGCTTGTGAATATGGGGTCTGCCGCTAACATTGATGTTACGAATAGAATCATCGCCCTGAAAAGCATGTACCTTGTCATAAAGGCAGACGGCCCACCATCAAGAGTTCATTTCATAACATGTGGCCGTGAATTGTCCAATACAAATGTCGAGACTTCGGTATCCACTAAATTCTTTGAAAATTTTGTGCTCAACTTTCGCTGGCATTATCTAAGAGTTGATCAGATTAGTCAGTCTCGTGATAGGTTGGTGTGCGGACTGCGGAATGCCCACCGTAAAAAAATCGTGTTTAGTTTTAACTGCTCCCCAGAGTCATCGGCTGGGCTGCTTTAGGGAGCTTCAAAATTTGTCTGATGAACAATGTGTACACCGATATTACTATTGATCAATGCTGCTCTCCGGACGGTTACGTAAGCTATTTCCGAAAGTGAGTTTTTCGACTTGAGGGGTTTCAACCATTAACGTTCGATGCGTCTTGAATCTCGGCGGTGGCGTTAATCGATGCCGCGTTCGATAGGTATCAGTTGCTTGAATAACTGTCTTCGTCATCAT